GGGGGGGGGTGGTGGTGTTCAGGACGCTGTGGGCTGTCCTTTGCTCTACAACAAAGCCTTTCTCTTGTGAGACGCTGAGAAAGCCTACGGTGGGAACAAAAGGTCAGGTAGCAACAGAGGGGCTCTTCGGTTTAAACATTTTATTCCTCACCCCCCAAAAGAATTCATCACCCAAGGTGTTTAAACTTTGAAGAGAATCTTCAAGGAAGAAAAATGGCTTCTCTTGTTTGTTTCCCCATCTGGGTCTGTCTTTCTAGGAAAGCACTGTGTCTTGGAGCCCAGGTCCTGGTTAGGGCCAGATGGAGCCTGTCCCCTGGATGGAGGGAGCCACAGGCTGGGCGGGTAGTGGGAGCCTCTGCTGTCCGTCCTCCGTCTGGGCCACAGCCTCATGACTCTTCGGGGCTGGGGGTGGCGCCCGTGGGGCGCTCCTTCAAGGCCAGGGTCTCCTCCAGAGTTTGAGGCAGAGGGTTTACCTCTCTGGCTTCCTACCACCCGAGGCCAGACTCAGAAGCCCCATCCCTCCCCAGGTGTCTGGAACCACCCAGAAGATGAAGGTCGACCTCGAGCAGCACCTGGCCCGGCTCAGTGAGATCTTTGCCACCCGGGGCGATTACCTGCAGACGCTGAAGTTTATGCAGCAGATGGCGGGCAACATCATTGTCCAGCTGGCAGGGGTGCCCGTGTGGACAGAGGTCACCGAGGAGCTGACCGAACTGGCCAACCAGACTGGCTACGTGGAGTACTACCGGTGAGGGGCCCTGGGGAGGGGTGATGGGGCTGCACCAGCTTCCTTCATCCAAGCCAGCGTCTTGGGGCTTGGGCTGGGACGTGCCACCAGAAGGTCTTAATAAGCCTTAGTGACTGAAATCCCTAGGATGTGAGAGCTGGTGGGGGCCGAGCGGTGGGCCGGTAGTACAGCCTGCTTATACAGGCAGGCGCTGAGCCCCAGGGAGGGGCAGTGATGTGCCGAGATCTCAGCGCAGGAGGCTGGCCCTGGCCTCCCACCCCGCACACAGCAGGGGGCTCCTCCTCGACCAGCATCCTCTGTGGCTGGCGCTGGGTGAAGTGCTGGTGGCTTATGGGTTCCTCACCTGCCCGGGTTTCTGCGACAGGTTTCCCTGCACCTGCATTCTCAGCCACAGAGGTGCAGGGGGTCAGGGAGATGGCAGCCTCTTTGCCTCCCCCCGATGGCAGCTGCTTAGCAAGCTCAGAGATGCCTCCAGCCTGAGTGATGTGGGCTGCGGGGCGCCACCCCACCTTTGCCATATCGGGTATGCAGGTTCATACCTGTGTCATCGAGCCTTTGGGGTTTCATTTACGTCTCCCCTGCCTCCCCATCACCCAAACCCCATCCCAGGTGAAGGCACTGGACACAGGCCAGCTGACCAGGGACCGGCTGCCCTCCCTCCACGCACAGGGTCTGGTGAAGGTCACTCTGGGCACAACCAAGAAAGGAGGAGGCAGTCCCGGCTTTGGGGGGCTCCCAGCCGAAGGGTGACACCCACTCATGGCATACACGTCCTTGCACACCCAGGGCAGGGCGCCTGGCACGGAGGCAGTGCTGGGGAGCGATGGACACAGGAGCCCTGAAGAGCAAGTGTCCGCTCTTTGGATGCCCCTCCCGCCCCCC